TATATTTTTTTTTTTGATTACGCTACTTGTTTCGATTGCAGTGGCGATTCAGCAGCTAGAAAATTTACACATCTTTCTTACCACAATAATCTCTTGTTTTAATAAATAATAGGATGTTTTTTGGTTTACCCTGTCCATCACTCCATCCATTTATGACATCCTGTTAATGGACATTTTTTTTTTTTTTTCTGCGAAAGTAACCCACTAATAGTCCTTACAGTCTTCAAAACCTTCTTCACTTTTAGTTTGGCTAGGTATACTCGTTGAGCTTCCATTATACATGTAACGAAAGTAGGATGGTGGCGGCGACATCGGCGTTAGAAAGCATGAGGGATTTTAAGGATAAAAGTACATGAAAAATTAAGACAGGTAAGGCGTTATGAAATAATGGTCATTCGTTAACAGTAACTATTTAATTCGTAACCTCAGCTTTTCTACGAAACCAGCCACTTGTCTAGACCGTAACAGCTTGCTGGTCTCACATGCTTCCCGAGTGCTTTTCCGCATCTTTTCATCATTGATTGAAATCGTGTTTTTCACCTGTTTATCACCATCTGCTGGCAGCATCTAATGGGTTTCAAGGTTTTACTTTGAGGACATCTCTCTAGGATTCTAAATTTTCTATCCTTGTCGTCCAGTCTACTGTACTGTGATTTCCCTAACACTTATCCGATTCTTCCAACTCAGAACTTGATGAATTAGCCGATTGATTTTTTCATTTGTCTTTCTTCCACTTTATTTTTCAGGTTTCACGGCCATTTCCGCTCAAACAAATACTGTTATAATCGTCTTGCTCTGAGGCTGTTTTTGAAACGCTCTATTTTTGTGCATCTTTTGAAAAGGTAAAATTACTTCGCGTCAATTCAACCACTGCCAACTGCTCAGTTGCAAACAGACATTTTGTGCGACCCATATAGAAGAGTAGCACTGTATGGATCAGGGGTTGAAAAGAAGATCGTAATTAACGAAAATTAATAGCGAAGGCAAAGAGAGTTCAAACAACCGACGATTATGAAACCGGCGATAGGAAGTCAGCGTTTTTTGTAACAATCACGTTTTTTTAGTTCTCTTCAATTTAATCGAGTTGTCTTGTTATTCTTGATTATCCTCTATAATTAATTAATTAATTAGACTCCAATTACATTTATGCATATATTATATAATACAATTGTAGACGTAAATTTATTTATATAGTTTATATGTATAAATATAAATAATTATTATATATAAACATAAACAAATACACGTATTTATACTATATTTTATATGTATATGTACATTCTTTTTTTAGATAAATTGTTGGTTCGATCTTTTTGGTAAAGCTATGAGGTGGTTTTGGTTCAAATTTTGGTTCATTTATCGACTTATATTAGCGTGTTTAACTCATACGAACTGGATACTTGCCATATATGTTAATTGCGCTTACTTCGTTTTTTGGAAATGTTACGACTTGTTATGGTTTTGGATGCATTGCATATTATGCATTTGTTTCGTACCGTTACGTAGTGAAAACTACCTGCTTGTGTGGTGTACTCTTATCTATAGCCGGTTTATGAAGTACCCAGGTCGGAAGTTTAAGGTGAACGCATCTTCTATTTCTCGTAGTATGTATCGTTATGGTGGTTTTTTTCTTATTAAGTGGTTGTCATTTGTTAATTATTTCAACTTCTTTGAAGTATAGGACATTTACATCTTGGAGTATGGGAAAAAGAGAGGGACTACAAAGAGCGAACGAGACCTATATAATCTTGAAAAGGAAGAAGCGAAAGAAAATGAGGAGTTCAAAAGGTTGTTTATTGACGGATGACGAACGTCCTATTCTTCTTAGTAATACTCTTAAATTTGAGTAGATTCTTTGTCTGCTTTTGGATAACATTCCTCATTTTTAATTCAGCACTGATGAGGGAACTACAAGTGTAACGGATATCTCAACTGAAATTGGTTCGTCTTCAGAAGCAGAAACTAGTGAAAATGCTCGTCGTTATGCTAAACAAATGTCGCAGCTTATGGTAATAGGAGAAGAAGAGCAAGACTGTATTGACCAGCTGTATGTAGGTCGTGCTACTGTTGCTTCACCAGGCGCATATTCTGAAGCTGATATGTATAGCCACTTTGGAAGTTTGTTTTTTCCTGCTTGTATGATCTTGTGCTCACAAGCTACCTTTGCAGGATATCTATTGCACTTTTTTTGATGGTATCAATAAGTGTTTTTATGAATTTTTTACTACTGCAGATAAATCTTTCAATAGTTGTCAGTTAATTCTTGCTTTAGATAGGGCCTATTTCGAAATCAACAGAGATCCAATTCCACCTCCTAGAAAGAAGCGAGAAAAGACTTCGAACGTAGTTTTGTCTGAGACGTCTATTTCTTCTGAAGAAGGTGGCGACGGTGAAAGCAGTCATTGGTACGATGCTTTAAACCCTGTGACATTTTTTTCTGGGAGGTCAGTTTGCTTTTTTTGAAGCTTTGTTGGAGATGACCAGATTTATGAATTATATCTGCTACCAGATTTTATTGACACCTAAGTGAGAAAAAACTTAATCTTCAATCCAGTCGTTACAGTAAGACTGGTCAGAAACTGGGAGATCACTGGTACGATAAGATAATACGTCCTGTGACTGCTATATCAAGTCGGTCAGTTTCATTGCGGTGGAGTTTGTATAATTTTTGATAGTATTCAACTAATTGACAGACACTTCTAACGTGACATTTAAGAAACTACTTTTAATTTGTTGGCAGGGCAGTAGTAGAAAACTTTTCAAGGATATTCACGTTTGTTTTATACTCGTTTATTGCAAAATTGTTTCTGACAAAGTTGTAGTTTTGGACAGTTAAAAAATCGTTATTTAACAGTCATTTCTTAAGTTGTTTAAAAGTTCCGGCGAAAACAGCCTTTAAACGTATATTGCGAAGGAATCTTTGTCTTACTCTTCGCTAGTCTCTTTTCATCTTTCTTGTTGTTTTTGAGACTGCTTGTGAAAGGTCAGTGAGACTAGGGTATATACTAACCAGTCTTTGCTTCTTGTTTTTTTAGGTACAGAAAAAGCTCAGATGTGGAAGAGAAAAAAAAAAGGGTGGGCCACAGCAGTTCTGGTGGAAATACAGCGGATGAGGAAAGCGGACCACAGGTCAACCACCAGGAAGCTGAACCGTCATCGTCTAGTCATTGTGGTATACTTATTATTGCGTTTTAGTGAATAGTCAGCAGTAGAATCACTTATTTTACCTGAATATTGGTGCCTACGAGGCTTTGTTTCTAAGTACAACAGAGTCTTTTCTTTGGCATAACTTGTTTTAATTTGGTGATCAAAAAGTTTCAAAATATTAGTCGTTTATCGTGCTCGTTATAGACTCAGGCAGAACTGATAACAACGTGTTAAAGCCAGATTTCTCGAACTCTCTGGATGTAAAAACTGAGAAAGAACGTTTACGGATGGAAAAACGGGAAAGAAGAGAACTAGCTAAACGGATTAGGGAAAGGAAACGGCTTGTTTTACTGGCTGCGGCTAAACGGGAAGCAAAGTTTGTTGTTTCCACCAATTTTTTAATTATCTAATGGAAACTTACTACTGGATGCGCAAGAAATGACGTAAACTATGGAAGCTATAGTGAAACATAGTAGTGCCGTTTTTAGACACTTGACTTCACACTACAGTTAGGTAGGAAAAAATGATAAATTATGGAGAAATGGCCAACTTTAGTGGTTGATGCCACTGTGGTGGTAACGTGAGGTGCACAGCTGCTTAGTTGGGTGAATGCGGTAAACAGTGGGCAATAGAAAAAATTAACATTTTGAATTGCCGGGTTGTTTTTTGGAACTCACTAATAAAATTTTATATGACGCTCAAACTAGAATTTCTGAAAGAATTATTGAGTAATATTTTATGTTCTGATGAATACGGCAACTGGTCATACGGCTTTTAGAGTACTGCACGGGATAGCAGTATTTTTTCACACTGTAGCATCTGATCAATTAGGTTGATTTGTGCAAAGAATGTTCTGTTTTTTTTCCCTGTTCGTCAAACATTTTAGTTTGAGGTAGCGTTTGTAAGTTGTAAAAGTTTTTGCCTGTTAAATCAGTGAAAAGAGGTTTAAAAACCATAGTTTAGATCAAACCATCTGCGCAATGCAACCGCTGTCGTTCTTCAATCTTTAAATATGCAATTCATTGGACAGTTTGCCTTGCCTTTGTTTTTGAAGATTTTTTATCCATTTTCCGTATACCGTTCTTTGAGGTGGTGAATTAATTGCCAAGCTACAGGCGCAGAAAGTCTTTTCTTTTGGTAGTTTTTTAATACCACACATTTTGCATTTTGTTTTTGGATGAATAGGACCCAGCAGGTTAGAAGAGGAATAATTGTTAATATAAAAATGTGCACATATTCGGCACTTGCAAGTTCCTGGATGTTTTTTGACTTTTTTAGTACAGTTCAAATATTCGTATGATACGGCGTGCCTCTTTTTT